TTGTGCACTTAACAATAAATTAAAATTCGGATTTTGCAAAATAATTTTTCTTAATATTTGAGAAAATACACAAATAATTAAGAAACCTCAAGTGATTTTCTAAATTTATCATAACTGTCTAAATTTTGCAGAACTATGCTCATATAAATTCTTCACATAAAATCCAAGTGAGCCAGTGCGCTCACATAAATCTCAGGTACTGGCTCACCTGAAATTTATGTGAGCACATAAACTCAGGCAAGCCAGTGTGTTCATATATATTCTCAGTGAACCACTGTGCTCATAAAAAAAAAGTATATTTAAATGGTGGCTTATTAAATATATGATAGAAATTTCAACTGTTTTTTTGAACTAAGTCTAAAAATAAAAATTATTGTAACTCACAGTGGGCCAGACACAGCAAGCCAGAATACAAGAAATGTTAGTGAAAATATAAGCCATTTAAATATAATCATATTATACAACAAAACAGGATATTAGGATCAGTGAATCCACTTTAGATATCAAAAGTTTTGATCATTCTGACTGATGAGCTTATTTTAGGGTCATTTTGTATGATTTTTATATCCTTTTATTAATTTTATTATACTACTTTATTAATTTCATCAATATACTTACTATAGTAAAGTAATATAGTGAAACATTATAAAATAGTAACATTATTTAAGTATGGTAGTTATTAAAATAACTATTTTAAAGTTTGTCATACATCTGAATTTGATATCATTTTTGCGGAGTGGGGTTGGGTAATAGAGGTATTTATTGAGTTGATTCAATATTTGAGTATGTGGAAAACAACCTTTGACAATATCCAGCAACTAGTAGGGGAGGGGACGTGGGGGGACGCAATCATTTTAGCAAATGTTAGATAAAGTATGATTGTATGTTTTTAATTTGATTTCATCTCACCAAGAGCCATACAAATTTCCGTTTTAATTTGTATAGTTCTCTGTCTCTTGTGCATTCATTATCTGTTAAGGAAATATATGGAAAAAATTATTTAGTTTTAGAGAAAATACTTTATCATGATCATAAATGGATAACTTGTGTTGACTTAAAGATGGTGCATTTTCTTATAGAACCAATTTCCTTATAGAACCAATTTGGTTATATATAGAATTTATAAAACCAAATTGAAATACAATTTTTATATAGAACTGATTTGGTGTAACCAGTTACACCTACACATACATATGACCAAGAAAGACTGGCAGCCACAAACAAGAATGAAAGAACCTTTAGTTGAGCAAGAGAAAATCCATTTATACATTGAACTGGAATCTACAGTGTGTTTCTAAATCATCAACAATGAAACGCTAATGACTTGATCATTATCATCATCATCATCATCATCATCATCATCATCATCATCATCATCATCATCATCATCATCATCATCATCATCATCATCAGCAGCAGCAGCAGCAGCAGCATCATCAGCAGCATCATTACCATCAGCAGCATCATTACCATCAGCAGCATCATCACTATCATCATGATCATGATCAGCATCAGCAGCAACATCATCATTGTCATCATTGATTATTCATGTCATCTCGCAGTCATATATAGTGCATCCAATACTGGTAGTACCGATACCGGAATACCAGCATTACCGGCCTTTTTCAAGTACCAAAATACCGGTATTGGGTTTGTCCAATACCAGTATTAAACTTCCAAAAAAAAAACCTGGAATCCCAGGGAAAACAAGGAAAAATCAGGGATTTTTTTTTTTTTTTTTAATATACTGATAATATATATTAAAATATTAATAATATTATATTTTATTAAAATATAATATTAATAATATTATATTTTAATAAAATATAATATTATTAATATTTTAATATATATTATCAGTAATTTTTTTTTTTTAATTGTACATTTGATGTTAAATTTATATGGTTTGGTTACTTTCAATTCAATTAGTATAGTAGTTTCAAACCAAGAAGTACAGATATATAGTTTGAATATCTCAGGGAGTTTAGATAGCTAAACTCAGGGAAGAACCTTCTTTACTCAGGAAATACTCAGGGAAAACTCAGGGCAAAACTTTTAAAATTATAGTGGCAACCCTTTATTATATATTAGCATTATGTCAGTCGCTGAGCACGTGCTTGTGTTTTGCACTAACGCAATGAATGAAAAGTTTGAAGTCGTTACCGCTGATTTCTATAATGGAAATTCTTATATTTTTTATATTTCCTATTCACAAAGCGTATCCGCGTGCGCTTGGTTAAAATAGTAAACATTCCTGGAATGGAATGGAACAACTGCTGATTTCTATAATGGAATTTCCATTATAGAAATCAGCAGTTATTCCATTCCATTCCAGGAATGTTTACTATTTTAACCATGTGCACGTGGAACGCTTTGTGAATAGGAAATATAAAAAATATAAAAAACTAATGCAAACTGAATGCAAATAGAAAATTACTATAAGAAAATTGAAACTTCAGATAATTTTTATTGAAAAAAAAATTGTGCGATTTCAATTAAGAACTAATAACCAATAATTTATTTCTTATGAATTCATTTACTTTAAAGTCAAGAAACATATGAAATGTCCCAAAAGGTATTCGAAGAGTTCAGTACCGGCGTACGAAATGATGAAAATTCTGTGTGGTTTTATTTTCTACGTGATAAAGAAAATCAACTTGCAAAGTGTAAGAAATGCAGCAAAGAGATAAAACCAAATGGTGGCAGTACCAGTGGACTGCATACACATCTAAGAACTAACCATAAAATTGACTTACTGAAAAGAAGATTGGTCCAAGATTCAGCATCGACATCGGCTTCGTTTTCATTGGCACCGTTGCCAACGGCCAAAAAGCCCAAACCTCAGGTCACCGACTTCTTACAAAATCAACACAACAATTCCTTGCCTGCAGTTTTTTCTAGATTGACTGCCCTTGATGGACTACCTTTTAGCGTATTTGTCACGTCAGCAGAGCTGAAAACATCGCTACAAGCTCGTGTGTTTGTTGTTCCAAAATCGGCGACGACAATTCGCAATATGGTAGTTAAATACGCAGACACAATCAAAGAAACTGTAATATCTAAGTTTAATAACCTCCGATCACAAGGGATGCGATTCAGTTTGACATTTGTTGAATGGACATCAATTAAAAACCGCAGATATTTAAATGTAAACGTTCGCACCAAGGACGAATTTTGGAGCCTTGGATTAGCTAGAGTTGTTGGTTTTCTGCCTGCAGAAAAATGCATTGATTTAGTTCAAAAAGTATTGACACAGTTTATGCTGAATTATGATGAAGACATTGTGTGTATACTGATGGAGCTTCCGTAATGCAGAAGGTGGGGCGTTTGAGTAATTGTGAACAACAGTTGTGCATTGTGCATGGTATACAACTGGGTGTTCAAGAAGTTTTGTACAAAAAACCGTCAACTTGTGCAAAAAGAAGCTTGAAAGTAATCTGCAATTACAACAACATCAGTGAAAGTGATGAGGATATTAGCACTGACGATGATACAAACAAAACCAATGACGACGAAGAAGACTTTTCCGGCGGGTTTCAAGTTGTAATGAGTGAAAAAGATGACCTTATTGAAATGACTGATGAACTGCAGCCGTTAATCACTAAGGTGCGCACCGTTGTAAAATTGTTTTGCTGTTCTCCGACAAAAAATGATCAAACACTTCAAAAATACACAGTAGAGGAATTTGGTAAAGGCCTTTCGTTGATACTTGACTCCAAAACTTGCTGGAGTAGCTTACACACAATGCTCGAACGTTTTGCGAAATTGAAAAACTGCATTCGCAAGTCGCTGATTGACCTTGAATCCAAAATTGAAATAACTGATAAGGAGTTCAACTCAATTTTAGATGTTGTTTCCTGTCTTGCGCCAGTAAAATTGGCTGTGAAAGCATTGTGTCGAAATGATGCAACACTGTTATCAGCCGATGCAACACTAATGTTCATGATAAATAACATTGGAGACACAGATTTAGCTGTTAAGTTAAAAGCTACTTTAGTGCAACGAATCAATGAGCGACATACAACTTTTTCCAGCTTACTGCACTATCTGCACAAGGGCTATCAATGTTACAAAAATTTGGATCCAGCGCTATCTTTCGAACACCTTAGCAAATCGGCCATTGTAAATATTATTGCTCGACTGAATGATCGGCTCAGTCAGCGAGCTTATAATCCTTCCACCAGCGTATCTTCTGATAGCGATTCTGTTGACAACACTGCAAACTTGTCATTGAAAGAAAAGCTTGACATGGCAATTTTAAAGAATAAGAAATGTAACATTAAGGAAAGAATGAACATTTCGAATAATTTATCAAAAACCATACGCAATGAGATGTTAGTTTTTGAAGATGGAGAAACTCGCGGTGTATATTTGCAAAATTCATACGAATACTTGAAAATTGTAAAACCAACAAGTGTCGAATCGGTGCGTGGATTTTCAGCAAGTGGCAACATTGTCACAAAATTACGATCATCTCTTGAAGATGATACTCTGAATGCACTATGTTTCTTACGAGCATACTTTACAAAGGAGAAAAAAGTGAAGAATGAAAAAGTTTGTAATTTTGATATAAAATAAAATAGCATTTTGAATCAAAGAAGTTTTACTATTTACTTGAGATTTTATTCATATTATGATTAATTAAAATAATAAAAATAATACCGGTATTATACCGGTATTACCAGTATTGAAATAATTCAGTACCGAAATACCGGTATTGAAAAATGTTATCGGTATTGGATGCACTAGTATATACATATATTGTCATAAAACTTTAAATGACTGAAAACATTGTTTCTTCTGATTTTTATTTTTGTTATCATTAATACAGAAAAAGAGATTTCTAAATGCAAATACTAGCCTGTTAAGGCTAGTATTTGCATTTAGAAATCTCTTTTTTTAATTCAAAGGATTTCTAAATGCAAATACTAGCCTGTTAAGTATTTGCTTTTTTTTTTTTTTAACTTAAATCTTAATCTTTATAAATTAAATTTTAATACTTGAATCCTTGAGTGTCTGCTGTGCCAACTTCATATTTTTTGAAATTATCAGCCATTTTTTCTATCACATTTTCAAAATTTATTTTAACATAATCATCTCTGTCCAGTCTTGATTGTTCATGATAAAAACCAAGCGCATGTAAAATTTCATGCATCACTGTACCTAAAATCAGTAAATATAAATAATTTTAATTGAACCAGTTTTTTATAATATAAAAATTTTATTTTTATAAATATCTTGAACAAATGAAAGAAAAACCTTTATAACTGCAATCTAAATCAATAGAAATATCTTGACCTCCATTTTCTTGGTTTCCAACAGGGGAATAACAACTAATAAATATGAAACAAATTTTTTATATGTTTCTGCAAAAACATGAGCTAAATTAAAAAAAAAAAACAAAAACTAAGAAGCAATAAAATCATAAAAGTTCACTCAAGGCTTTCTAATGACTTGAGTTTAGTTAGATTTATTTTGGCAAACATAAATTGAGTTTAAAGTTTAAAATTATTTTTATAAAGTTGAAATGCAAAAATAACTAGCAATTTTAACTAAATTATTACTTTGATCAATTTATTATACACATATAACTGCACAACTTTTTTTACCTCAATAAACTTTTAATTTAAAAAGCAAGAAGTAGAATAAGGAGAAACTGTTAAACTCTTTGCTACATTATTTCTATATCAACTTTAAAAAATATTTATCAAATGATTTTTATAAAGTAACCTATCGTAAATAAGTTTTTTTTTGAAGAGATAAACTTTACTGAGTAATTTAAAAAAATAATAAAATACCCTTTTCCTTGGATAAAGTTCAAGTAAGACTCTGGAAGCCCATTGACACCCACATTATCATCAGAGGAACCATCATTCTTTCGTTTAATAAATCTGATGCAACTGACACTACTGATTTCTCTCATTGCTTCATTTATTGCACGTTCCATTTTACCATCTAAAAAAATTAACAACTATACAGAAAAACACACACATATGTATATATATATATATATATATATATATATATATATACCAATTGCTCACTTTTTTTGCTAGCCTAAATTAAGTGAGCATTTTTAGAAAACGATGAGGGAAAACGAAGAATAATGAATGAAAATGTTGCTAACCCATACCAAACCCTCAGTCGATGTAGCAGCACTCCACTGCGAGTCAGGCTATTTGTCAGTTGATGTATGTACTGAAACCTTCGGCAGCATATATATATATATATATATATATATATATATATATATATATATAACTTCATAAGGGAGAAATTCTGATTTGATCCCCACCATATCACTGGTAATGATATGGTAGCAACCTTGTCCTTCAGGGTTCGTGTTTCAAGTTAAAGAGTTGAGAGAGAGTTGTAACCACAATTAAGTAGCCTCCTTGACTGTAGTCGCTCTCTTGACCTTGGGGAGGTGAACAACATTAATATATATATATATATATATATATATATATATATATATATATATATATATATATATATATATATATATATATATATATATATATATATATATATATATATATATATATATATAAGATGATTGGAAGAAAGTTATTTGGTCAGATGAAACTAAAATTAATCGGTATACCACTGATGGCCGCCAATGGGGCTGGAAAAGAAAAGATGAACCATTAACCCAAAAAGATTTTATTCAGACAGTAAAACATGGGGGAGGCAATATTGAACTATGGCGGTGTATGACAGCTTATGGATTGGGACCAATTCGAAGAATAGTTGGAAACATGAATAAGGAAATGTATCTTGATATTTTACAGCACGAATTATTGGAAACTGTTGAAAATATGTCTTACCCAATAAATGAGGTCATCTTTCAACAGGAAAATGACCCAAACCACACTGCTAAAATGGTAAAGAATTGGTTAGCTTCACAGGACTTTCAAGTGCTAGAATGACAAGCACAAAGTCTTGAATAGAATCCAATAGAAAATTTGTGGTCACAATTAAAAAAAGCGCTCGTTAATAACTATTCTGACCCTCCATCATCCATTAATGTGTTATATGAACAAGTTCAAGAACAGTGGGAAAGTATTTTGTTAAATTTTTCCGAAAATCTTGTAAGGAGCATAAATAGAAGATTAGCAGCAGTTAAAAAAGCTAAAGGATGATGGACAAAATATTAAAAATTGACAAAAATTGACAGTTTTTTTTGCATGGTGCAAAAGTAATTCACCATGTTTTTTATTTATTATTTTGTAAGTAAATATTTTTCTTCAAGAAATACTTAATAAAAATTGTTTTTTTAATAATAATTCCTAACAGCAATATTAATTCTCAAAATGCTAAATTTTTTATAAGAAAATAAAAATATTATGCATTCTGGTTCAGTTTTGCACCATACTGTGTATATATATATATATATATATATATATATATATATATATATATATATATATATATATATATATATATATTTACCATTTCATGGTAATATATATATATATATATATATATATATATATATATATATATATATATATATATATATATATATATATATATTACCATTATATATTGCAGATATATTACCATTAGCAACTCCATATTGTGATATTGGTAGAGATATCAATAACATTGTAGTGAAGCATTGGCATATTATTAGAGATGACCGCAATTTAGTAAAAATATTTCCATTGATACCCACACCTACTTATTTCAATAGAGCATCGATTAAAGATATTTTAATACATTCGGCCCATGTACATACGAAGTTTAGATTTTTTGTATATTTTAGTTATTTGATGTTTGTATATATTACTAGTCTGTTTATTTTTAATATGTCATTATCTTTGCGTTAGTCATACAGCCATATCTATTTTACTGTTTTTTTATATATTTATTTACGTTCATTTTTTAGGCTCTTACTGTTTAACAATTAATTTCCCCTGAGCATGTTTTTAGCCAATAGTATTGCTAGTATTTTTTATTTGTTTGACGTCGCTAAGTCACTTTTTTGTTGTTAGGGCTGCTATGTCTTCAATTTAGATCTTATTTTTCTTGATATTAGTTTTGTTTTCAGTTTCACGTCTATCAGCTATGTAATAAGTTACCATCATTAGTCCACTACTTAATTTCAATTGGATCTTACAACACCATTATTTTTATTATCTTTCTGCTTTCTCTATTTGGTTTTTTATATGTGTATATGTATGTATGTATGTATGTATGTATGTATGTATGTATGTATGTATGTATGTATGTATGTTATTTATTGTCATTTAATTTTATTGTTTATTTTATTATTTGATTAGATTTATTATCTTGTTTATATGTGAGCATCTATAGCTTTATCTGTTAGAGTGTCGACCAGGTAACCATTGCATTCCAGGTTCAATTCCCGCTCTGAGCGTATTTTGTTTAACTTAGTATTTTTACTTCGTTCTTTTATATCTTGCACGTTGGTTATGATTTTCCATTTAGAATCTGAGTTTATTATTTCTATTACATGTGCGATGTTTATATAATCATTATTATTTTTTTAATATATACTTTACTTCAATATCTTTATTTTGCTCTGAACATCTGTTCATAACACTTTTTTATTTCATTTTTTTATCCTTTCTCTGTTTCTAATTTTTTCCTTATTTCACTTGGGCTTGACTGCTCGGTCTAGTCCTTTGATGCATATTTTTGCCTTTTTTTAAATTATTTATGTTGGGACTAGGGAGCTATGACTATTTTCCATACTAGACTTTTATACACAGCCTTTACGGTTTTATTTTTTTGGCTTATCAATTTTTCTATTTTCTTTATATTTTATACTTTTATTATTTTCTTTATTTATCTAAATTGCGTGTTGCTTTTTATGCAACATTATAGTGTATTATTCGTAAAAAATTTATCACTATTGATTTTTAGTTTAATTATCACTATTACTTACAACTATGACTAAAAAATATAAATACAGTTACATGCATAATTGTTGTTTCCGCGGGAGAGTGCTTTTGTTTCTGGTGCATATCTAAGCTAACTTTTAGAACCAGAAGATAATATAAGTCTTATGTATGGATGCTATATCCATCAAAGGTCATTTGTAGTATGATTGGGTTGGCTAGATGTGTTTCGGGATTAGAAGTTTTCACGTTGATTTCTAGTAATATAACTATAACATACAGATACAGTCACATACATAATTACTGTTTCCGTGGGAGAGTGCTTTTATTTCTGGTACATATCTGACCTAACTTTTAGAACCAGAAAATAATATAAATCCTTTGTATGGATTGTACATACATCATAGGTCATTTGTAGTATGGCTGGGTTGGCTAGATGTGTTTCAGGATTAGAAGTTTTCATGCTGATTTCTAGTAATATAACAATAATACTTGATTCTATTGTTATTGGACATTTAATACTTTTGACTACAATTGGTATATGTGTATATCTATGTATATAAGTATCATATTATTTTTCTGTTAAGAATATAATGCGATAATAATTTATGCAGTATATAATTATATTCTCAATACGCATTACCGTCATTTTATTTTATATCTTTACTTTTAGCTCATATCTTTATGACCAGATTCTCTTATGTATATTGTTTTCTATTATCTGTTACTTTTTGCGTCCTAGACCAACGATTTATCTATATTCAACCCATCAAATGAACAAAGAATTTGTCCACCAATTTTGATGAAAAGTTTGTTTTTACTATCAAGTCATGTAAAAAGCAATAAATAATATAAACATTTGATTAAAGTAGAAAAAGAAAAACTTACAAAATTATTTAATGAGAAACTAATAACTAATTTTTCACAATATGTTTTGTCTGATGTGAAACAACAAATCTTATACAAAGTTATTTCATTTATACCTTACTCGAATTATATTCATAGTAATTTATTTAGTAAGGCAGTGGAGATATTTAAACGATCAATTGATCTAAGAATGTTTTTTGGTAAAGATGACAAAGACCAAATAACTCACCCATTCCACAAAAAATTACAATGGACACCTCTAAATACAAAAAACCAAAACATAAATAAATTTTTTGTACAGATTGATCAAGACATTGAGACAATTATGAAAAAATCTAAACCCAAAATTACAAACAATCTTTTATCGGTAGAGTCTATAGCATTGGAGAGACTACATAATAATAAGGATACCATATTCAAAAGAGCAGATAAAAGTAGTGGGGTTTGTATTTTAGATAAGGGACAGTATGAGAATAAAATAAACCAACTATTAAATGATACTAGTACTTATAAACTCCTGCCCCATAATCCAATGGCAAAAATAATAAATGATATTAACACTCTAATAGACTACATGGCTGTCCACTACATAATCGACAAAACAACCGCAAATTTTTTACGACCTGATACACCCTGTCACTGCCCTATTTTTTACGGATTACCAAAAACTCACAAAGAGGGTATACCGTTACGACCTATGGACCTAAACCTATGTTACGTATACCTATAGACCTGATGCTTCTTTGATTAGACATCCAATGGAACATTTAAAAGGAGCTTATATTCCATCAGAGCAACTATAACTTTCATGCCTATACAGCAATCATCAGCCATGTACTATATCAAAAACAAACAAAAAAAAAAAAAAACATTAATAAAATTACAAAATACAGTGGAGTGACAACTGATGTCTCTATGGAGACAAAACAAGAAAACATCAAAGAAAAATCATATATAAATCAGCTAATCACCAGTATCATAAAACAAAAGAAGGAATTTACTTTTATGTCTACAATTTGAAACCAAATCGTTACTTTTGTTTAACAGATTTTCTGTAAAAAAAAAAAATTTTCATTTTGACAAAGGTTGCATATTTTGGACGAAGGATTATGTTTGGTAGTGCTTGATAATTTTCCACTTAGTAAAAAATGAAAAGTTCTTTAGATAATTTTGTATCATTTCTGTACTTAATTAAATTAAAAGATTTTAAATGATTTA